AAATTATCTATATATTATGAATGACTCACACATAACAAACGTATATTTACTTTTCAGCTATGCTAAGGATCTTATTGCCTGCTAAACTCAACTAAAGCTTATATATCGTAGATCGTAGTACATGACTTACGCTCAGTTCTCGAGAGCTGCCGATTCGATGTCTTTGCTCTCTGTAGAGTATTTCATAGTCCATAAATATGCGCTCTTCTTCCTCAGTTTCGGTTGGGCCGCAAGTAGCGCTGAGATTTCAGCAAGTGCTCTTCGGCATTGCGCGACTCTCCAATAATTCTGCGCTGATTATTTCGGCTGCCGATGCGCCGAGAACGTAATCATCGTCATAATGGGCAACAGCGGCCGCATCATTACGATGATCGTCATCGCTGTGTCGTCATTATGGCAATTTCGTGGCCATCGTTTGATTTAGCGCCAGTTACGTTGGGCTGCAGTGGTTGCAGTGGTTCGCGCTGTGGTTCGCTCTGTGGTTGTTGCTGCTGCTGCTCCTAGTTGTTTGTATTTAAATTTTTTGTTGTAGCTGTAGCTGCGCCTCACGGGCTGCTGCCATGAAACTGAGTTGTTGGCTGCGCACAATTGACAGCCGAGGCGCATGAAAATTTAAATTATGGCTCCTTCATGCGCCCCAGCCATTCGCTATATGTGCTACCCACTTTGCTGAATGGAACCCGGCTACGAATGAGTCTTGGCATTTGCACTCCATTCAGCCAACAGATTAAGTTGCTGCGATCTCGATGGGTCTTCTTCTTCTTTTGGCAATCTGTTTTGCCATTTAGACCAAAAAGCGACACAAGGTTGGCCAATGAAATATTTAGCGCTTAGGCAATCGATAGTCTAGAGATATATTGGTATCTGATCTTGCATTGTGCTCAAGTCAACTTGAAGATCTCTGAGCTACTCTCTCAATAGAAGCGAAAAGTTGCGAAATGCAAATCTCATGCAAATTAATAGGGTATACCTGATATCTGATATCTGGTATTTGGTTTGTGGCATTTCCTGAGATTCGATCGAGGGATTCCATCTTCTATGAAATGAGCTTTCAAGGGAATACCGAAATGTGTTAAGATATGCGCAGAAGCCGTCAGCACGATGCAATGCAAAATGGGGCTCAGCTCTGGCCAGCAGTCGTTTGGGCCAATAATTTCAAGAATTGACACAAACTTAATAAATCACTCAGAGGACCCGGCCAATGTTGCGAGGGACAAGGACAAGAGCCTTGGCGAGCGAGTCGTGCCATACTTGTTGGCTGTCAGGATCGGTAACGTTTTCGGTAAGTTACTCGGTGCCAGGGATTGGGGAACCCGAACACAATCTGGCCAGGCCACAGACGCTGGCTAAATGACCCATTGTTTTTTTTTTGTTTTCGGCATTTGCCTGGCTGAACAATCGAATGGCATTGAGGCCTGTTGCCTTAACGACAAAACAAACAGAAAAAAACAAAGGACCTGGGCCAAGATCAGCGCCTACAACTCAGGAGACAATCGATCGTAGTCGCTGCAGATCTGTCGCTTCGACAAATATCGCGCATGAATATTTAAAAGTTTTTCACCCAAAAAAAAAAAAAAAAAAGAAACAACTAAGTAAAAACAAAAGGTTTGAGTTTTGAGTTGAATATTTATGGCTGTCAGTTAGAATCTTTCATTGGAATTGCCATGCAAATCATCTCAAGAATAAATTATGATCAGTCCAAGAGCCACGCAAAAACAAAAGCATTCATTAAATATTTGATCTGATATGTCTAATATATGAGCGACTCCAATGTGAAGTCAAGAGAACAGCCAGTTGAGTGATAAGAGCAAGCCAAAGTATAAATCCCTGTGCTTATCGTGGCGCATTGAGTGCCATTAAACAATTTAGTTAAATCGTATTGCTTACAGTTCGAAGTAGCCGTGCGGTATGATAGCGATAAGGATTAGTTGAGTCACGTGTAACGGGCCTCTTAGTCAATGCTGCCAATCATAATTCGGATTTACGATCGTTCGGCTGATATTATAAGACCTCTATTGTTTCGCTTGTAAATCCATCAGCGCCGCCTATCAATACATTTTGATTGATTTAAAGTGCTCTAATCGTCGCTGATCATATTTCTTGCTGGTTTATTTTCATGTGCAACAGATTAGATAAAAGTTGTTTATGAAATCGCAATGCAGTAGAACTATTTTTACTGCCACCCGCTTTTACCGTACCACCCGGCTTGACTCATAACTGACGAGTGTAATATATGTATGTTAGAAGTACTATTGGAACAGGTTAGTTCTTTCACTTCATTTCATAGCATTTATTTGTGATTACATATATCTCTTATGTGTAAGCTTCGATAGCTCAATACAAATTTAAACCAATTATTATTATTATCAGAAATCGTGTATTATTGATAAATAATAAAAATTAATAAACAGTGTTTTAAATGTGAGCGAACTGAAATATTTATAGAAAATAATCTATCTTTGCTTTTTATTTACGGCTCTTACACAGCAATAAAATTTTTTAAAATATTAAAATATAATTTGTAAATAAGACAGGAACAGTAAAAATATTGAAAGCTTTGTAAATTGGCATTTGTTCAGTAAGTAAATGCATATTTTTACGCTTAAATATTAATCAACAAAAAATGAAAATGAATATATACATGTAATTTTTTTAAATATTTATAAATATTTAATAATCTATACAATATTAATTTGTTTCTATAAAATATAAATTTGTAATTTAATAATTATTAAAAAAATATAAGATCTTTATATTGCAATAAATATTTCTTTACCTAACATATTTTTAAAATATTTTATAAAAAAATATATATACATATATATATAAAAATAATTTAATATACTATGTATTATTATTACTTTAATATTTATTGCAATTTTTTACTATAAAAACTAATTTCATTTTAAAAAATTTTTCAATTAATTTTTGTAAAAAATATAGATAATATGTTTTTAAAAAGATTTTTTTACTATGCAAAAAAAAAATGTATATACTTATGTATATTATTTAGTATATAATTAAATACATAATTACGCATGGTTATAAAATAATGGTCATAATAAGATTATTACTTTACTTTATTATTTAGTAAATATTAATACATATTAATTAGAAACAAATGAAGCTAATATGTGCACATTTTTAATTCTTGTTATTAATCTAGTAATTTAATTGCTTAAATTATTTATAAATAAGCCTCAAGGAACTAAATTAAAAATGCTAAGGGAAATCTACGTTCAGTTGAAAAACTCTCTAGCTTTGGTTCTCATGCCGGTTACATGGTGGCCCGCTGATGCTGTCTGCACCTGAATGCACTTTAACCAAATTCTCCGTGTCTCAACATATTCTAATAAGCGCAAAATATCTTCTAATTAGAAGAAATTGTTGAACATGCCACGCGGATAGCTCGGCAATTTAGCAGCTCTGCTGTAGCTGTAGTTGTTTTTGTTTTTATGTGTGGACTGTAGCGAATGAATCAGCCTCGGACTCCAGATATGGCTGCAGCGTTGACGATCGCGACGACGGGAACATTGAGTACAACGACGAGGACGACGGCGACGACGGCGACGACGACGGCGATGATGATGAGGAGGAGGCACCAGCCACAAGATGGAGTGGAGTGGATGGGTTGGGATGGGATGGAATGGGATGGTATGGGAGGCTGGGATGTGTGCGAGTGCGCGCGCATTTAAAACAAGTTCAAGATGCAAACAATGGATCATTATCCAGATACAGAAAGAGCAGAAGAAGAGCGAAACAGATACAATCGAGCGCAATCGCCAGCAGTCGCCAGGCAGCCAAATAGCCAGCCAGCCAGCCAGACAGCCAGCCAGCCAGCCAGCCAGAGCATTCCCATAGGTTACACGAGATGCCTGTCTCGGGGAGTCCAGCGAGCAGGGCAACTGGGCAACTGTTCAGCTGGGCCGAGTTGAA